TGGCATCGGGGTTTGTATGTTATTGTGAAGCTCCCAAGTCTGTCGGTGTAGTTGTTATGTATGCCCCTTTGACTGTAGATTCTTCACCCTGCCTGTGCTATAGTGCTGTTTCTCATTCTGTGGATGTAAACCTTCAACTATCACTTCTTTGCAGTATGCACCTCTCTTCCCCTGCCAGCCTAATCATCTAACCCTGGCCACATGCCTACAAATATAAGTGGGCTCCTATGTATTTCAGTACATGATCAAGTGTAAATGGCTGTCTGCATTACTTCAGAAGCCTTGACATGTCTGTTCAAACTGATTATGTGTAACTTGGGAAGGCTGCTCAGTATGCAAAGCGCAAACTACACATCATTTACATCAGTGGTTCTCAAACTGTGGGGCGCTAAGGGTTTGAGCAGCATACTTTCCCACAGATAAAAATTAAAACTGCCCTAAATCAATTACAAAAGTAGCAAAAAAATAGAAATACATATAGAAAAACTTTTGATGAGTACAGGCTTTAATTATCATGAATTTCAAAACAACTAATAATTATTCTCTTTACTGGCAATTATAAAACACATATGCCAGAGACAGCTGTGATAGTTCGGCAGCAGCCGCATCCTCTGAAATCCTCTGAAGTCTAAGACTTTTTAAAATGCTGTGTGAGGAAATGGGTGCCGAACACACTGCTCTGTTGTTTTTTAGTGATGCTCAATGGCTTTCAAGAGGCAAGGTATTAAAGAGAATGTTTAAGCTGAGGCATGAGGTGTTCTGTTTTTTAAATGGGGAAAATCACTCACTGGCAGACAGTTTCAGCAACAAGGATTTTTTATTGAAAATGGCTTACCTCACAGATATATTTGAGAAACTAAATATCCTCAACACTTCACTTCAAGGGAATGAGGCAACTGTACTTTCTTGGAATGACAAAGTGAATGCATTCCTGAGAAAATTAGAGCTCTGGAGAAACAGTATGGAAAGTGACACACTAGACATGTTCCCTACTCTGGTGTCAATGGTACAAGACACTGATAATCCAGTGCTTCCAATGGACATAAAAAGCTGCCTACTTTATCATCTCATGATGTTGAAAGTTCATTTCGGAAAATACTTTTGCAATGATTTTGATAAATTTAATTGGATTAAAAATCCATTCAAAATGTTCCTGGGCCATCACCTCTGAATGTAAATGAGCAAGAACAACTCATCGATCTCACTAGTGATACTTCATTAAAAAGTAAATTTAAGGAATTGTCTTTGCTGGAGTTCTGGATACATATTGGCAAGGAATTCCAAACTTTGAGCCAAAAAGCATTGAAAATCCTAATTTCTTTTCAACACCTTACTTATGCGAGACAGGCTTTTCTGCTTTGGCAGCTATAAAGTCAAAGTACCGTTCAAGGCTAAATATTGCTAAAGAAGTTAGAGTGGCCATTTCTGATATTACACCATGTTTTGATAAACTTTGTTCTCAAAAGCAGGCCCATCCATCACATTGAACTTGGACACTGAAATGTTTGATTCTCTTTGCAGAAAAAAATTAAATACTTGTTAGTTAAATATCGTTTCATTTCAATACATATTTTGATTTTGCAAGTGTTAAAACTAATTTTTATTGTAGGCCTAGTATTGTGATACTTTAATTTTGAGTAAGAACACTGCTAAACAGTATGCAGAAAAACACAAAATAAACTGAATGAAACGTCAAACATACAGGTACCATGACTTCTATTTTGATAAAAAAAAAACAGGCTGGGGGCCTGAGAGTATTTTCCCTTCTCAGGGGGGGGGGCTCAGAGGTAAAAAGTTTGAGAACCACTGATTTACATTCATATTTTTTCAAACAATGTGTACCTAAAGTTTCAGGTAAATATATGGTACTGGTATTTAATTTCTCTTTCTGAAATGTATCTAGACATAGAAGTACATGATTAATGTGAGTAAATGCAGAGTGTCAAAACACATTGCTATTCACTTACAGATAACAACATCTGTATGAATGGTTATGCAGATAGAAAATAAATACAGTAATATACATACCACACACAATGAAAAGATTCAATACAAAGTGCTATATTCGGGTCTAGCTCAGGTGCGTAATATAGCAAGTAATGCATTTTTAAAGTAATGTTTTATATAGGTTTATCTATACATTTCCATTCACAGCTTAATTCTGAGTCAGATTTAATACTGATCATAACAGTCGTTTTTGGTGATGTGTATTTCAGTCATCACATGAAGTATCCTTAATGTTTAAGTTACTAAGTTCACACAAGTTGAGTGCCTCAACAGAACAAAACATGAAAATCTGTTAACTGTAAATGCTGTAGGAGTGAACACAGAGAATTAAAAAATACATATGAGTATTTCCTTTTTTATTATATCTGGGGGAGTAGTGATCAAATTCTGGAAGAACTCATTCAAGCAGGAGGTGAAATATTATGTTCTAAGATCCATAAGCTAATTGATTCTGTTTTGAATAAGGAAAATTTGCCTGATCAGTGGAAGGAGCCTATTATTGTACCAATTCACAAGAAGGGTGATAAAACTGACTGAAGTAATTATCAGAGGATATCACTGCTATCAACTTCATACAAAATGTTATCCAATATTCTTACCTCAAGGTTAAGTCCATATATAGATGAAATTAGTGGGGATCATCAGTGTGTGTTTCGCTGTAACAGATCAACTACTGATCAGAGCTTTTGAATTTGTCAGATACTGGGGAAAAAAATGGGAGTACAATGAGCTATTCCTAGACTTCAAGAAAGCCTATGATTCAGTTAGAAGGGAAATACTGTACAATATACTGTTAAATATTTGGATAACCCTGAAACCAGTTAGGATGATTAAAATGTATAGTAAAGTTCGTATACGTAAACATTTGTCTGATAATTTTCCTATCCAGAATAGTCTAAAATAAGGAGTTGCTTCACTGCCACTCCTTTTCAACTTTGCTTTAGAATATGCCATTAGGAAGGTCCAGGAAAATCAGGTGGGACTGAAATTAAATGAGACACATCAGCTGTTGGTCTCTGCTGATGATGTGAATCTACTGGGTGATAATACAGATACCATAAACAAAAACACACAAACTTTAATTGACGCAAGTAAAGAGGTTGGTCTAGAAGTAAACACTGAGAAAACTAGTTAGTTAGTTAGTTAGTTAGTTATTGGAGAGGGTAGGTTTCCCCATGCACTGAGACCTGTATTGGTGCATTGTGCTTCCCTCTATGATTTCTACCAGTCTCTATATCCTACAGGTACTGGTGCTTACCATCAGTCCCACTCAGCCAGCGAGACCGGCTCTACTAGCTGAGAGGTATCTATAATGCTTCCCCCATCTACCAGAGGTATTAGAGACTGCTGTTGGGCGGGAAACGTCCGTTAATTTGGCTCAGTGACCTCCTTTGGAGATATGAGGTTCTTTTACGTGCCGTAAAGCTACGACACAGGACCCATGGCTTAAAGTCTCTCCAGGAGGACTTGTTCCCTGAATTTTTCCGCCCTTAAAAATTCAACGACCTCCGCCGGGTATTTGAACCTGCGTACTACGAGTCATGAGGTGGGAACGTTACCTCTAGACTACGGAGGCCGCTCTGAGAAAACTAAGTATATGTTGCTGTCTTGTCACCAAAATGCAGGGCAAAATCATGATATAAAGATAAGAAACAGATGTTTTGAAAATGTGGCACAATTCAGATATTTGGGAACAACGATAACAGATCAAAATCTGATTCAGGAGGAAATTGAACTCAGGTAATGCTTGCTACCATTCAGTCCACAACTTTTTGTTTTCTTGTTTGCTGTCTAAAACATAAAAATTCGACTACACAATACTATAATTTTGCCTGTGGTTCTGTATGGGTGTGAAACTTGGTCTCTGACATTAAGGGAGGAACATAGACTGAGGGTGTTTGAGAACGGGGTACTGAGGAGAATATTTGGACCGAAGAGAGATGAAGTGACGGGAAGATGGAGAAAACCGCATACTGGGGGGCTTCATAACTCGTACTCTTCTCCAAGTATAATTAGAATTAGCAAGTCAAGGAGAATAAGATAGGCAGGGCAGTTAGCATGAATGAGGGTAGAAGAGAAATGCATATAGGATATTGGTGGGAAAATCAGAAGGAAAGAGACCACTAGGAAGACCAATATGTAAGAGGGTGGACAATATTAAACTGGGTCTTAGAGAGATAGTATGGGATAGTATGGACTGGATTGATGTAGCTCAGGATAGGGGCCAGTGGAGGGCTCTTGTGAACATGGTAATGAATATCTGGGTTCCATAAAATTCTGGGAAGTTCTTGAGAAGCTGCACAACTGGTGGCTTCTCAAGAACGGCTCAGTTCCATGAGTGACAATATCTGGGGCACCTCCATACTTTCACCATAGCACACACAAAAGAAATACAGGAAATTCCCTGTTATCTGGTATATGTGGCAAATGGGGTGACTGGTTACATGAATCTGCTGGTTGCATGAGGAAAACTCTTACAGAAATCCAACACAAAGTCGAAACAAGACATTTTCACCTTAGTCCTTGCACAGGTGTCTTCTTAAGGAACACAGGTGGGTGCAAGATTCTGGATACATATACAGGAGCATGAACACAAACTCAACTAGCCTCTACTGAATGACACTTGGGTAAGGAAGGATGGGAGCTACTACTGGTCAGTGGGAGAAATAATGCATGGCAAGTGAATATATAACATACATGAATTGTAGATGTACCGTTTAATAACTTCATAAAAACGGCAAATTTTCTTTGAAATTTCTGCCAGCTGACTGAGTATTCCAGATAACCATGAGTTTACTCTAAAAAGAGAGAGAATTTTCAAAGAAATGAATTATTGCAAGCAATTACATGCCTACTTTCTCATAATGAAAATCAAACTTTCTCATCCAAAAATACTCGTATGTTACTGTAATTTAAAGTGGTAAAATTTCATTCTAAAATGAACATGCTTAACATGCTCAATTATATGTAAGAGCATATAAATGAATAATTACCTAACACAAATGTACTGATGCTTTTGAACTCAGATGACGCATTTCTTCATATGGTTTTATAGCATTTTAAGCCTGCTTCAGACATCTAATATGATGTTCCAAATGAGTTCAAAATGTCAGTTTTAATGAATCTGAGAAGATCCTTCTGAATCACAGTCACAACAAATACAGTATATTATTCAACTTTTTTCTCTAATTGTCCAGATACTGCAGCTTTAAATTTATCTACTACTTCTGTAAATATCAGAGTTCCAGAAAACACCATGAATGTTCCAAGCCAATGTGCAAAGGTGAATTCATTCTGAAAATACACAATAGAAAAAAGCAAACTAACAAATTTCCGAAGTGTCACGACCAATGTAACGGTGAGAGATGTGCACTCAGTTGTAAGTACATAAACTGAGTTGATACAAATACATCTGTACAACTGTTAAGAAAATTATATTTGTTTAACATCATTTCTATACCAGAATATGGTTTACACACCAGTGAATCACATTTTACAATCAATTAAACTACAAGTTAAGCTTTAAACAGAAAATAAGCAACAAATCATCAAATATAATCAGTAAGAATATCTTCTGACATTTAATGCAATTCTGAATATAACTACATACCAATTACAAAAACTTAAATGGAAGAAAAAACTACTTTACATGTCAATGGTACAAAATGCATTAAATAGTTTTAAACACAGTAAACAACTACCAATGTATCTAATGCACTTTGGATACGTCACAGTCAATCCTTCTTATGTGCCAAATTTACAAAATTTATTGAAAAAAAGTTCAAGGCTTACTCCTCAACCCTGAAGATAAAAAAAAAAAATTGTGGTTCTAGTCCACAAGCAAACTACATCAACCAAGCGACTGCCACTTGTCGGCAAAGTTAGTGCCAACTTTAGTGGACAGTGGGTGTCACGTGGTCAGGACAACGAATACTCACTGCCGTTAATTTCGGTTTTCTAGACCAGAGCCGCTATTTCCTTGAAACAGCTCCTCAATTATCATCAAGAGGCTGAGCAGACTCCGTTCCAGAACCACTATTTCTCAGAAAAAAAATCTGGTAGCAACGGGAATCCAACGCGGACCTCTGGATCTGTAATCAGGAACTCCGACTACTAGACCATAGAGGTGGTCTCCAACCCTGAATATCGTATAAAAAAAATCAGCATGAGGCAGGCAAGAAGCAGAGCTGTGTCTGCCATCTCTTTGATTCTGGTTTTTTGAGCTTACCCCTTGACCCTGAAGATGATGGAAATATGTTTGTCCAAAACATCAGCTGACTTTCACTGGACTACATGGCATTATATCCCTGAAGATAGAATTCTTCATAAACATCACTGTGAGAACCTCAAATCCAACCTAATCATTCTTCTTCCATAAGTCTGATTCTACTGTACAATGCTGACTGAAACAATTTACCAGCATAAATTTTTAATTACAGGTACTGGTATTATTTTTTACAATATTTCTCAATACTGCTGCCCCGAAGTAACCTGCAAAGAGACACTAACTTCACTATTATAGCTGATAAATTTCATTTCAACGTCTTGTCACACTTACATGTTCCGCTGTTACGGCATTATATGTAACTCCAATAAATCATGACATTTTCATAGTACTTTAGTAAAATACCCAACAGAAATAAATGTGCGACACTATAATGCAGTTACTTTTTTACAAATGATGACCAGAACACTGTTTATTATATTTGGACAAATATGGTCAATTTATGAGTAAATATGGGAGTGAATCAACAAATAAGTAATGCTACATGTTAATACAACAGATCCTGAAAATGGGGAACAAGTAAAATACTGATGAATACTGTTATACACAGGTAAAGCAAAAAACTGGCAAGCTGAAAATATGGGCACACAATAATGTGTACCCAGTGACAAGTAGAAATTACAAATGACACCTATCTGAAGATGGTTGCCTTGTGGGATTTTGAGGTTCTCACAGTGGTGGTCATGAAGAGTTCTATGTTCTGTTACCTGCTTCCAAAATTTTGAAATAAAAAGTTTTTCTTTTATTTGTTTCATTCTGGTCCGTCACACTAATATTACGATAAAGTTAAACAGTTCCATCCAGTGTGACTAGTTAAGACTTTCTTACTTCAATTATTCATGCCCTTACATGTTTTGGTCTTCAGAGGGACACCTGAGGGACCCCAAACTATTATGTAAAGGTGTCCCTCTGAAAATGGTCTCTGAATATCAAAACATGTAAGGGCATGAATAATTGAAGTAACAAAGTCTTAACTAGTCACACTGGACAGAACTTTTCAAAAAGTTTTTCATCGTGGTCATATGAATCAGATGCAACCTACTTTAAGAGAATGAGTACTGTGCATGGTTGATAACATGAATATTGAGTTAATGAAAATTTCACACCTGTCCCTGATTCCGTATATATAAATATATGGTGAATCTACTGCATTCTTTGGTGGGAAAGGGGGACAAAAAAGTAAATTTAATAAACAGAAACTGAGTTCTCTCAGTGTAACATCTCTGTAATTAAACTGAAAAATCAAAACTATGAATTTATCTATGAAAATCAACTTTATGAAAATACATATTATGACATATGCACTGAAAACCAGAATAGTGTAGTGACAAGAGACAGCCACTGATAGATAATGGATTGGTAAACACGTTCCTACAGCAACGGATACGAAAAAAAAACCAAACTCCATGGTTTTTAGTCCACAAGTGCACACACTGCACTGATAAGGACAAAAATTGTTCTTTCTGAAAGCGTTCCAGGCAATAATTTCTTTCTGTCACATATCATATGTAGGAAAATTCTGAGATTTTTGCATACATATAGGTCATTTACTTTCACTTCATAATTTCAAATTCCTGCCAAATGCTAGTGTACTGCTAAAAAGTGGCAGGGTGGGAGATATGCCAGTTGCAGAGGTGCTGGGAGTGACAGTGCTTTGTTCAGCCAAAATACTGCCATAAACTCATCACTGACTGGAGGGTAAATGTCAAACAGGATGATAACAAAGACAATAACAATTCTGTCTCTTCAGTGTACTGACACATAAATACTGGTTTAATTGGAAAATAATATAATATACTTAGAAACTAGGTATGCAAGACACTTGAAAAGGATACTGTGTGAGAACATTCCCAGCAAGGTAGAGATAGAGCTTTGGTATGCGTGCACCAATGACAGGAATAATCACAGGTGTACTTTGAGCAAATGAAATGATGTGAGAATAAATGTTGTCATATAAAATAAGGAATCCAGGAAGAGGAAGCAAATGCTGTAACAAGAGAAAAATTCTTTTAGATGATTAATACCTATTACAGAAATCATGTTTAACACTTGGCAACAAAAAGTTCATTAATTACCCCACACAAGTTTCCATACTGGATACTGTTACACAATTGAGAAAAACAATGTAAGTGCAGGAGGTGGCCAAAATGTAAGCATGGTAGAGTCAAAAGTTCACAGAGTTCTGCTCCAGTGAGCTTATCTGCTATCATAGCAGGTATTACTGCACAACATTTTCAAAGTAGTTGCAATCTACTGTCATACATTTCTGTTAGCTTCTGTATCACTGCTGGATTCGCTCATGCAGGGCTTCTGCAACATCATGTAAGACTGCTGAAATAGCCACACTTCCACTGCATCTGTGAACTGGAATCTATATTTCTTCGGGAAGACCTTCATTCTTGGAGAAAGGTAATACTTGTTAGGGATAGTGTGGAGACCATGGAAGCAAAATAAAACCAGTCAGATACTCCTGCACCTAAAGAGACTGATGAACTTGAGCAGCCAGTTCCTAATTTTTATAGATAGGGTGTTTATGAAGGTCAGCTTCTGGTATAGTGTGATGAAGATTTCTGTATTTTGGCTTGCTGATATAAAGCTTTTCCAAAATTAACACTCCTCATTAGAAACTATGACCAGCCTTCTCTTCCACAGTAACTGATGGCCATCCTTGAAATACCTAAACCATGTGTACACTGCAAACTTCCTCAAGTCTTGTCTTTGTAGGCCTTCCTATTCACTCAGAATGTATGAAGGTCTTGCTCATATGGTATACAAAACTAATATTAGCCACATCTTTGAATTGCATCATCCAAGAGATCAGAGTTCTGAAAATAATACTTGCAAAAACAAATACTCTTGCGACCTTCATACAGTCTGTACACTGAGTGCACACAGCGGAACAAATCTCAGCTTTCTCTACGTACCCATGCATACTTAAACATGCAAACCCATACAAATACTGAGTAACTTCATAGCTATTCAGGTACATGAAATTCTCAATTCTACCATGTAAACACTGTGATAATAAGTCTGTGAAGGAGAGTGAGAAAGTGATGAGAACATTATTCCCTGTATTTCTCAAACATTTGATTTGCATAATATACATGTTCTAATATCTCTCAATACATACTGTATAAAACAATGATTCTCTTGGATGCTTCCCATATCTTCCATATAATACTTCTTGGTATATACCCATTCTTGCCGATACAAAGAGTGCAACTGTTAGAAGCAAAATGCCTAGAAGAAAGGAAGAGAGAGCAATATATGTTAAAAATAAAAACCAGTACAATTTCAAACATCATATGTCATTAATATATTAACTCCACTAACAAAATTAAAATGCTTTGAATCAACAAAATGGAAGCCTGTTATGAGACCTGATATTGGGTAAGTTCAATGAAGTTCTGTCCTCATAGCCTACTTCTCTAGAGTTGATTTCAATATTATCCAATGACGTCTTTTTCAGTCCTCAAAATAACAATCTTGGAAAGAAGTTTCTTCATCAAAATTCTGTAAGCTCTAATATATTAAAATGGTATGCTGATTAAGTAAGTGGCAAACTGGAAAATCTCTTATACAGAAGTCTACAGCACTACTGATAAGATTGAATGATTAATCTCATATTACACAACACAGTTAATATTTTCATAAAATTTCATACTCTGAACAAGCAAATGGTACTTCCAAATATAATTACTCAAAACTTACTGCAAATAAAGAAATACAATCATTTGAGTGTAGTCCAAATGACCAACATGTTTCTACTTATGCGGAATATAGGAAAATGAAAATATATGAAACAATTATTTTCATATTTGTTACATTATTTATTTATATGGTTTATATATATATATATATCTGAAGTTACTACATGCCAAGGCTATGCCTAAGTTCAGACGTTAGTCACTGGTTCCCAAATGCAGAAGCCCAGCTTCGATTCCAGACCAGGTCATGTGAGATCTGTTGTGAACAAAGTGGCACTGGGGTAAGTTTTCTCCGAGTACTTTGGTTTCCCCTACCAGTTCTTATACCACAAAATGCTCCAAATTCATCTATCATTCAGGGGTGGTACAACAGGCCAATTAGTGACCGATTTATAAGTGGACTCAACATAGGCCCACCCCACAAAATTAATTAAAAGGGATTAATATATGACACTATTAATGTATAAAGCAGAAACAGACATTTACAATGACAGATATTAGTAAATTAATGGCAGCTGATACAATTTTTTAAGGATTACTGAAGGAAAAATCTGAACTGAGAAAAAATAAATGAAAAAATTAGGGAGAATGTAGGATATATATCTTGGTAAAACAATAAACCCTTGCTAATCTGAAGTTATCAGGATTAAGCAATAATCTGCATTAGTGAGGCAAAAGGTAGCCCTAAAGAACAAAAAAACTTAGAACACAAATAAACGGAAATTTTAATGATATAATTGTGTTGACGGAAATAAATAACAAAATATCATTGTGGAGCCTTTAATTAATAAAACTATAAAAAGACAACACATTTATTCATTGATAGAAGGATAAGACGTTGAACTTGTTTTCCAATGTAATACTGCAGGTTTGAAGAAACTGTCAAGTTTTATCTGAACAGACAAGTGACTCATCTGCCTTCCTAAACATCATGTCTTTTAAAGTATGTTCTTGACTGTGAACAGCATTTTTCATTTCTCATATTTTGATTTGGATAATCTGACATCTAGATTAACTGTAACTGGATAAGTGAACATTTACTGTGACTAATAAATAGACTGAGATGATACAGACACCTTTTTGAGAACAAATGAACACAGAATCCCAAAGAATGCTCTGAATGTGTAACTAAAAGGAAAACATCCAAGAGAAAGAAGAACACAAGAGGAAACTGAAGAACAGAAGCTCTGGGAAAAGAAAGACAGAGATTGACTGCTTGTTCCATAACCTATATAAAATGTAAAAGGACAAGATGATTTATAGATTATAAAGAGTGATAATATTTACTGCTACTTGCCTACAGTCCACCAAAAGAGTACCTCCATCTCAGACTGTTCAGGAACAACCTGGTTCAATGGCGTGGTCGCTTTCTGGATGAAAGAACATAATTAGAATAACTGTGGCAAAGAAACATTACTCTTACATGATTAGAACTACCAACATAGGTTTTCAAGGGGCTGGAAATCTTTCATACTAAACTCACAAATCCAGATATTTACTTGTAACACGGTATGTTCTAGCATGCAGTGCACTGGCTCAACTTTTGTGGACTGCTGTACCTCCATAATCCAGGTTAATTAATATTTAACTACAAGGGCTATTCAGAAGGTAATCTCTGATGAGCTGTTAACAAAACAAGCAAAGAGGAAATAAAATTTATTATATACAAAAAGTATGTACATACTTAAGCTACTTCACAACACAGTCACCACATGAACTGAGGTATTTATTGTGTTGGGGAATAAGTTTCTGTATGACTGTGTCAAAGAAGTCTGCCGCCTGTGAGCTCAGCTACGTTCTGACACCTTCCTTCAACCCCCATTATTGCTAAAGTGCTATGATTGCAACCAGTTCTTCAGGTAGGTAAACAGGTGGAAGTCACTCAAAGCATGATCAGGGCTGCAAGTGGATGGACAAACAACTCCCAGTTGAAATACTCCAGCAGTGCTCAAGTGCAAGCAGCAGTATGCAGACGTGCATTCTCATGGAGGAGCACTATAACAGATGTCATCATTCTACGCCTTTTGTTCTGAATGGCCCTAGACAGTTCTTTTAGTATTTTGCAAAACACTTATGACATTATTGTGGTCACTTGTTGCATGAATTCCACCATCAGCACTCCTTTCCTGTCCCAGAAAACAGTTGCCATCAGCTCTCTGGCATATGTTTGTTCAAAATCTCCTGCTCGTTCAGCGAATGTGTGTGTGTCCAGTGCTTTGACTACTATTTGGTTTCAACATTCACAAACAAAACCCAGGTTTCATCAGCTGACTAAGAAACTCATCACCATCTTTGTGGTATCACTCTAAAAAAGTCAAAGTCAAAGCCATTCTCTGCATTTTGTGCACACTCATGAGCATTTCAGGACCCATTTTATGCTAAACTTGTGTTAGCCCAGCCTAACTGTGATAATCTTGTAGAGCACAGCACGTGAAATTAGTGGAAATTCACATGAAAGTTCTCAAATTGTGAAGCACTGTCTTTCAGTTCTTTTGGTCATCACTCACTATAAATGGCCGACCACTTCACTCTTCATCGTGAACATTTGTTCACCCATCTTTGAACATTCTACACCACTGTCTTACAGTTCCTTCACTTATTACATTTTGGCAGTAATTTCAGCAGCACTCATGTTTTTAGTGTGAAGAAAGTGGATAATAGTGTGAATTTCACAGCTGGTGGGATTATTAATTGCAGGATACATCATAACTCTCTGCAGAGACAGGAACAATCACTAAGTGACCAGTTATGTGATGGTTTACAAGGCAATGAGTCTTGTGCCACTATCCATCATACATGAGCTCTCCCCTGCTCCTACCTCAGTTGCCTAATATAAATGGAGGTTACTTTCCAAATAGCTCTCATATTACCAAATGAGGGAAACATTTTTGCAAAGATAGCAAATTAACTGCATTTAAACAGTGAAATTGAGAGGTTCTGGGCAGGGGGTTTGAACCTCCAAGCTGCCTGAATCATTCTGGAATAAAATGTATTACTTAAGAAACCACAAGACATAGGGGTGGTTTTCTAAGACTTTAACGCTAATGTGCCCTTACTCTGTAATAAGAAGGAAAACGGAGAGGTGGAAAATCAAAGAAGATGGCAGAAGACAAAGTCCACCCTGGACACCTTTACACTGATTCTGAGTAAGTGGGCAATGAACTGATCCATCCTGATAGTTACAAGACAAAACATGGGCTGATTGGTGAGTACAGGTTAATAAAGGAAAAGGGTTATGTTCACTAAACTAAGACACAGTGTGAGGCTAGGAAACAAGGCTAGGAACAATTTTAGGAAGAAGAGACATGAGTACTAAAGTGTATTTATTTATTTATGGACCATGTACTTCACTAGATTACAAACAACACCACACAGACAGACATACATACAATGAAAAACACAAGAACCTATAAGATATTTTATGTAACCAAGAACTGAAATGAATGTATGACACAAACTCGTCCTAAGTGCAACAATTTATTGTAGTTCTTTTGTCTTCTTTTCTTCTACACTACATGTTACGGCTGTAAACGGCCATCATCAGGTGTATTTCTCTCACGTAGCTGTTACACTGCATGTAGTTTAAAATTTAAAAACACCAGCTTTCTTAATTGTTCATTTCTCTGTTGTTAATAGGTCCCGATATATCAGAATCCCCTTGCTGATATTTGTCAGATATGTATAAAATCTTTGTTAATTTACATACGTCAATTTGATTTTTGAATTTTGGTTTTTTTAAAATCTTCATTTTAAATTTAAATTCTTTTTTAAATTTTAGACCTAGAGCAGGTATCCCTGTGAATTTTAATTTTTAAAATTAAAAAAAAAAATTTAAATTGAAGATTTTAAAAATACCAAAATTCAAAAATCAAATTGACGTATGTAAATTAACAAAGATTTTATACATATCTGACAAATATCAGCAAGGGGATTCTGATATATCGGGACCTATTAACAACAGAGAAATGAACAATTAAGAAAGCTGGTGTTTTTAAATTTTAAACTACATGCAGTGTAACAGCTACGTGAGAGAAATACACCTGATGATGGCCATTTACAGCCGTAACATGTAGTGTAGAAGAAAAGAAGACAAAAGAACTACAATAAATTGTTGCACTTAGGACGAGTTTGTGTCATACATTCATTTCAGTTCTTGGTTACATAAAATATCTTATAGGTTCTTGTGTTTTTCATTGTATGTATGTCTGTCTGTGTGGTGTTGTTTGTAATCTAGTGAAGTACATGGTCCATAAATAAATAAATACACTTTAGTACTCATGTCTCTTCTTCCTAAAATTGTTCCTAGCCTTGTTTCCTAGCCTCACACTGTGTCTTAGTTTAGTGAACATAACCCTTTTCCTTTATTAACCTGTACTCACCAATCAGCCCATGTTTTGTCTTGTAACTATCAGGATGGATCAGTTCATTGCCCACTTACTCAGAATCAGTGTAAAGGTGTCCAGGGTGGACTTTGTCTTCTGCCATCTTCTTTGATTTTCCACCTCTCCGTTTTCCTTCTTATTACAGAGTAAGGGCACATTAGCGTTAAAGTCTTAGAAAACCACCCCTATGTCTTGTGGTTTCTTAAGTAATACATTTTATTCCAGAATGATTCAGGCAGCTTGGAGGTTCAAACCCCCTGCCCAGAACCTCTCAATTTCACTGTTTAAATGCAGTTAATTTGCTATCTTTGCAAAAATTTTTCCCTCATTTGGTAATATGAGAGCTATTTGGAAAGTAACCTCCATTTATATTAGGCAACTGAGGTAGGAGCAGGGGAGAGCTCATGTATGATGGATAGTGGCACAAGACTCATTGCCTTGTAAACCATCACATAACTGGTCACTTAGTGATTGTTCCTGTCTCTGCAGAGAGTTATGATGTATCCTGCAATTAATAATCCCACCAGCTGTGAAATTCACACTATTATCCACTTTCTTCACACTAAAAACATGAGTGCTGCTGAAATTACTGCCAAAATGTAATAAGTGAAGGAACTGTAAGACAGTGGTGTAGAATGTTCAAAGATGGGTGAACAAATGTTCACGATGAAGAGTGAAGTGGTCGGCCATTTATAGTGAGTGATGACCAAAAGAACTGAAAGACAGTGCTTCACAATTTGAGAACTTTCATGTGAATTTCCACTAATTTCACGTGCTGTGCTCTACAAGATTATCACAGTTAGGCTGGGCTAACACAAGTTTAGCATAAAATGGGTCCTGAAATGCTCATGAGTGTGCACAAAATGCAGAGAATGGCTTTGANCCTAACAAAGATTTTATAGATATCTGACAAATATTAGAAAGGGGATTCTGATATATCAGGACCTATTAACAACGGAGAAATGAACAATTAAGAAAGCTGGTGTTTTTAAATTTTAAACTACGAGCAGTGTAACAGCTACGTGAGAGAAATACACCTGATGATGGCCATTTACGGCCGAAATATGTAGTGTAGAAGAAAAGAAGACAAAAGAAGTACAATAAATTGTTGCACTTAGGACGGAGTTTGTGTCATACATTGTGTAGTGTGTAACAGGATGCTTTAATATAAAATTGAAATGAAGGCTGTTGTTGTGTTTCTCTACTTAGGCAAGAAGACCATTTATTTTAACTGATTTTAACAATTACTTTTAATATACACAACTTACTTTGACTGCATTACATTTTAGTCTCAATTTATAATGCTAGAACAACTACCTTTGTTCAAACACATATAGAAAGTTTTTCTTCATTGCCTTTTGATGATGGCCAGTAGTGGCTGAACATGAAAAGGCAAACTTCAATATTCTCCTACTAAACTCACTATACATGATGGATCTCATTACTTCTTCATGTATTTATACTTTATTTAATGATCTTAAAATATAAAGCACTGAATGCCATAATGATTAGTGAATGATGAATTGGAAAAGATCTGGAAAGAAGTGGTTATTGCTGTGGTGGTGGGTGGTGGTTGCGGTGGTCTGTGATGGTCAAGATGGTGATCCATGGTGTTGGTAGTTGTGGTTATTGTGGTGTGTTCTTTGAGGTGGCGGTGGCGGTGGTGGTGGTGGTGAATATGGAGATGGTGTTGGTTGTGGTAGTCATAGTGGCAGTGTAAATGGTAAAAATGGCAGTCAAGGCCACCATCAAGGAGGATGAGGTGTCAGTAGAAGTATGGAAAGTAGTGAAAGTATACTTGAATTCAATGCTTATTTACGATTCTAGTATGAACACAGGAACAGCATAAAAATGTTTTCTTAAATTTAATAGGCTAGAGGCTGTGCCACAACCAGTCACAAACATAATAACAGGCAAAAAACTGAGTTGTTATCATGATGGGATGAACAGGATAATTAAAACTAGCAGGAACAAAAATTATTTTTAATATGCCATTTTGTAGGTGTATCACTAATGCCATCTACTGCCAACAACTGACATATTCATACATAATGAAAATGCCATAAATGATGTCTACTCATACACATCACAACATTAATATTTCTCAGATATTTTGCTGTGGTATCTGCTGGTTGAAGTTTCACATTGTTGGATCTTTTAATGAGAACAGTTTGAATTTACAGTGTTTAATGATCATAACATGCGCACTATCGGCCTCAAGTCTGTTTATAGTACTGGTGTGCTAAAAATCAAATTAATGCTGAACAGTCTGGGTTGGACTGACATAAGATTCTGACATGACTTACTTTTCAAGATTTCTCAGTTGTTCATGTATATGGTCACACAACATACAGTTATGAAAGGCGCAAATTTACTTTTTTGAAAGGGATATTAACACATCAGGAGAAACAGAAAAAAAAAACTCTCCCTAGCATATCATGAAAAGAGGAGTTCTACTCTTCATTATGTTCTCCAGAGGTCCATGTTCGATTCCCAGTGCTAGCAGATTTTCTGAGAGGCAGTGGGTCTGGAACAGGGCCACTCAGCTTCGTGAGGATAATTGAGGAGCTATTTTAAGGAAATAGTGGCTCCGGTTTAGAAAACCGCAATTAACGGCCGTGGGAATTTGTTGCTCTGACCACGCAACACCCTCTATCCACTAAAGTTGGCACTAACTTCACCAACAAGCAGTGGTCGCCTGGTCAGTATAGTTCGCTTGTGGACTAAAACTACAGAGTTTGTTGCTTTTGTGACGCTAATTTGGAATCAAAATAGAAATACTGTACTTCCTTTACACTGGTGAATCTGTCCATAAGAATCATTGGTGTTAAAGTGCTCTAAGAGTGGACATGTTTGCTGTCATCTGGAAGGTGGTATAAAGCTTGTAATTTATGCTTCAAACTTTTCTATAAATCTCTTCATACATATGATGTATTTCAGTTGGCTGTTTTACAAATGAGACCACCTCTGTGGTCTAGTGGTCAGAGGTCCTAGCTACTGATCCAGAGGTCTGAGTTTGATTCCTGGCGCTACCAGATTTTCTGAGAAGTAGTGGGTCTGAAAAGGGTTAACTCAGCCTCATGGGGATAACTGAGGAGCTATTTCAAGGAAATAGCAGCTACAGTCTAGAAAACAGAAATTAACGGCTGTGGGGATTCATTGTGCTGACCACACAACACTTTTTATCCACTAAAATTGGCACTAACTTCACCAACAAGCGGCAGTCACTCGATTGGTATAGTTCGCTGGTGGACTAAAACCATGGAGTTTTACAAATGAATATGAGAATTACATATACAATCAAACCTGTCTCCCCTTACATAACTAGGGCTTTTAAAAGACTTTTAAGAAAATTCAATCCAAGAAAAAACCAGCAAGATACTACAACATGTTTTACTGCACTGCTGTAAATACTACATCATACCGACTCAAAATTATGATTCTATGACGAGAAAATATCAATAGGAATGGAGAATATAAGCAGATATTTCAGACAGGGAAACTTGCAGAATATAACGTTTCAACCATTTTAAAATAATACTCACAACATCTTTTCCTGATACAATAGTGCAAATTGAAATTCCAAGTGTAATCATGAAAACTGAAAGATATTTTGACAGTGTATATTTCTTCTTCAAGATCAGTATACCCATAATCATATTTGCAATCAAAGATCCCTGAAAAAAGAAACACACATTACATACTAATAAAAACACTCAAAAAATACTTCCATGTTTTGCAATCTTAAAATCTGAACATTTAATTCACATCCCTGTCATAGTGACAGATATGACACACTAATATACTGTCATAATCATAAAAAAATAAATTCTAACCTCATGGAAGGTTAATAATGAAATCAGTTTCTAATTTAACTAAATTATTCTTGGTGTTAGCCACAGGGTCCACCACTGGGACTGGATTTTTAGAATGTGCTGCTGTGGAAGGAGAAGTGTGTAAGTGTGTATGAGCACACTTGTAAGAGTACTTATATGCTATGTTAATTATAGTGAACTGGACCATGAACTGATATGCACCTGCTGTTCACACTTTTTCTGAACACAGGCTACCATCAAGACAGGCAGAATTCTTAGGATAGAATCTCATGTGCTGACATACAGAAGAATTCCAATTGTTGTTCATGCATTTGCAAAGAATGCTCTTCAGCCTACAACAGGAAATTCTTTTTGATGACACATCCTGAGGTGAAAATGGGTCTAAATAGATATCATCAATAATATTAACACATCTGCATCAGCATCCAAAATTAATGACAAAAAAAAAAAAAAAAAACAGAAATTGAAGCACACAAGTTTATACTGATCCTTTAAACACTGAGTAATCAGTATTAAGTCTGGATGGTAACTGAAACACCTGTGAAAATTTGCTCAATTGTCATCTTTTAAATTTCTAAGCCTCACAATTTTTGCATGGCTGTGTGTGAGCAGCTCTGTTGCAATGCATTTCTTATTCTTTCAACAATCTCTGGTGCATAAACTGAACACACACAGCTGACAGTCTCGATGTCCCAATAACATACAACTATTTCATCCTCTTTAAAATTATATCCCACTAATTGGTCTGTGTATGTCGATCTTAATGCAACGGGATGCTTAAATACAATATTTGAAAAATCATATTTGTTAAGTTAGTCTCTAAATGTGTATGTCATCTCAAATGTCAGAGGTGAGAGTAACAACATGCAAGGTATCAAGGAGTAAAACACAAGACTTGATCCCTAAGTTTGAGGCAACTAACAGTTCTCTTCACCTTCAGTTCAATAATTTTTGCACTTAAGAAAATTCATTGTGATGTATGACCCACTGCTAGGCAATGGCTCGGTAAACACATTACCGCAGAAGCGTATGTGTGCAACAATAGAATCTCCACTGCTTGGCAATGGATCAGTAAACAAGCCTTCTCTACAACAGAGAGGCTGTGTTTTCTGTGTGGTCCGTGGTAAGGGGTTATAAAGGGATACAGGAAGTCCTTCAAGTGAGAACCTGTGTGTAGGCGGGGTCGAATACCTCCACCATGAACCCTGCAAGTCGTAGGAGGCAACGGAAAGGAAAGTCTCAAATCTGAGACAGTAAAATATGGTTGCAAGTCCCAAGGGACTAGGACCTAAGAAAGCGTACGCTAGCAACAGCCAGTAGCAAATACAAAAGACAGACCTATCCTCTCGTCAGAGGGGGCGCCCCACAAAAACAAGATCGTAACTGCCAAACAGTAATAAATATCTGGTCATGAACCCCAGATTGGGCTCAACACCAAGACTGACTGACTGTCAGTCGCAATGTGACTTTGACTTTGAGTGAACTCGACTCAGGTTGAGTTCTGGAGATGGCAGTTGAAGGTGATTGAGAAGAAATGGCAAGAAAGGAATTGGGTAGTGTAAAGAATTCATATGTGAACTGAAGTAACAATGAGACTGCTATAAATCCACTACCTGGATACAACTAGTGAAGACTGACAATCCTACTGTGTGTGTAAGAGTGAAATGTAAAGTATGTATGTCAGCAAAACAGAAGTGTTGTAATTGCCTGTAGTTCCGAGTACTGTGTATAAGGTGTCAATAAATCCCATCTCATTACTCATGTGCAATGCCCTCCCCTTTTTGTGACAATATATTATACTACCTCTGCAGCATTACATCACAAGAAGTAGAGTACATCACGGCTGCCATGACTCCCCAGATTTTTTTTCAAATTTGTTTTATAAGGTAACAACTAACAAAACACTAAACTCTGACTTTAGACAGATGAAACTGTGCAAGGCCAATTTACACTCGAAGCCAGCGGTTCTAATGGCAATTGTCCTAACAAAACACTAAACTCTTCAGTTTAGACATATGAAACTGTGCAAGGCAATTTACACTCAAAGCCAGCGGTTCTAATGGCAACTGTCCTAACAAAACACTAGACTCTGAGTGCAGACATATGAAACTGTGCAAGGCCAATTTAAACTCAAAGCCAGCAGTTCTAATGGCAGTTTCATCTGTCTAAACTCTTGAGTTTAGACAGATGAAACTGTGCAAGGCCAATTTACACTCTAATGGCAATTGTCCTAACAAAACATGCAGTGACATCTCATGATATAACAATTCACTAATAAATCAAACCTTAAATATCTGAGGATCTTGGAGAATATCTTACTTTTTAAAGTCCTGAATTCAATTATCCAATTACAACCAGATAACTGGGACTTTACTGCATTTGTAACTGAAACATAAACCTCTAATTTTTGTATCACAAAATGTCTATCAGATGTGTACACTGCAGGAAGTCTGTGAAAACTGTTCCTGTTCAAGACATACTTCAATGGAGTCAACAGTCCAGTTTTCGAGATGCTTACATAAATGTCAAGCATGAACAGACAAGCACTGAGGATAGTCACATTTCAGTAAAATATGTCTGTTATTTAGATGTTTGTGTGCTATGGTTTATTTGAACGTGTTTATCTGTATTATTTGTCTGTTGTCTTATTGTAGTACCACTGACACTGGGTGAAAACCCATTTGCAGTTAAATAATAATTTTTACCAAGATGGCGGATGGTATTGAGGCGTCTAGAGTGAGCTCTAACATTTTATATAATAATGTAGTTCATAGTAGTGGAACTTCTTGTTTAAGTTGTATAAAACTAAAAAGGGAACTTCAAAGAGTGCAAGAGGATCTTAAAACTGCTCAGTTTATCATAGAGTTACTACAAAAAGAAGTTAGCTCAACATCGGAACAAGAATCCAGTGGTAACTATATCCACTGTAAGGAGTGCGATGAATGTGATACTGATGATTGGAGGCAAGTGAGAATAAGTCAGGCGACTAAGGAGAGAGTTAATTTACCACCTATTACTGACTACTGTGTTCACACAGCAAATCGCTATGCAGTGTTAAATAATCTTCAAGAACATAGCCAACCTAACCTACAACCTCTCACGAAGTACAAAGGCAGACCAATAGCAACAGTAGTTAACGGAGTCCCTAGTATGAGAAATCGCAAGAAATCGGAGCAAAAGCACAAAAATCAACAATCAAATAATACATGCAATATGGTAAAATCCAAGAAGCACAGCGTCCTGATACTTGGGGACAGCCATGCGAAAAGAAGTGCAGACCTTATAATGAACGAATTAAGTAAAGAGTTCGGGGTCATAGGAATTGTGAAACCAGGTGCCAGATCAAGTGACATATTAAATACCAATATTGACAAAAGGATGACAAAGAATGACATTGTAGTAGTGTGGGCTGGTACCAATGACATCGGCAAAGATAGAGCAAAGGAAGGAATAAACAACGTAATCAACTTTATAGAAAGGACCAGTCATACCAACATATTGATTATGGAAGCACCACACAGACATGACCTGGCTGATTGGTCTTGTGTCAACAGAGAGGTGATACGATTCAATAGACTTCTAGCCAAAAGAATGAAATCATATCAGCATGCAGCAATCTGCAGTATGGATCTTGGCAGGCAACACTTCACAAAACATGGGCTGCACATGAACAAAGAAGGGAAAGTAAAGATGTGTCAGCAGATAGCCAAATTAGTTAAACTGAAAGTGGGGGAAAGAGTCAACAGAACTACACCGTCAGAATCTAGAATCCATGTTGAAGCCATTCCACTAAACTATGAAGGAAACACTGTCCAGAAAAAGACTACAAAAACTCAACTGAATGAAACAGAGGAAGAGACAGCGGAAATTCAGGCGACTGCAACAGAGGACGAGACTGCAGAAATTCAAGGGACTGCAACGGAGGACGAGGTTACAGAAATCCAGGTGACTGAAGTAGAGGGTGAAACTGCAGAAAACCAGGCGAAGGAAGATAAGGCAACTCCAGTCGATCCATCCCTCAACAGAGTGGTGTCATCCAGTGGAGACCAGCAGCAGGAAATCCGAATGTCAACCAGGAAAAGGAAGCTCCCAGTAAAGCTAAGTAAAGATTTTTTATAGATAAGCATAATAATAAGAATAGTACTGGTACTCTCAAGAATACTAACAAAATGAGTGCAAACATCCAAATAATACATCAAAATGTTCAAAGTCTAAGTAACAAGAAACTAAATATAGAAGTGCTATTAACAAACAAAATGCTAGAATCAGATATACTTTGTATCACTGAACATTGGTTAGATGAAAGAGAAATAGGTTATTATAACTTTGAAAACTACTCCTTGATTTCAAAATTTTGTAGGAAAAATAAATTGCATGGAGGTTCATGCATTTATGTCAAAACAAACCTAGATGCAAAACCTTGTAACCTATTTGAAAGCTTAAATCAAGAAGAGCACTTTGAGGCCAGCATAATTGAACTTATACAATTTAATACTATCATAATCTGTATATATAGAACTCCTAACAGTAACATCAACATATTTATAAAAAATCTGGACAAAATACTTAACAGTCTAACCAACAAAGGGAAGAATATTATTATTGTAGGAGATCTCAATGTAGATTTTATAAAAAAAAGTGTAAATCCACAATTGCAGACAATGCTGGACTCATATGGCTTACAAGCAATAGTTGATGTCCCAACAAGAATAGGACCTACAAGCCAAACAGCCATAGACCAAATAATACTAAACAGGGGCTTATGGGAATACAACTATAAAGTGGCAGAAACAGGGCTCTCTGATCATAATGCCCAAATACTACAAGTATATATGCACTATAAGAATAAAAAAGGACAAGGTAGAATAACTAAGGAGTTCAAATTAGCTAGACTTTACAGTGAGGAAAACGTACAATATCTAAATTATTTACTAGGAAAAGAGACTTGGGAGCTTGTTTTTAAGCAAAATGAGGCGAATGTTGCATACAATGAATTTTTAGGCATCTTTCAGTACTGTCACAATATAGCTATGCCTAAAAAATGGGTAAAAATTAAGCAGCAAGAAAATAAATGGATTACCTTAGGCATACGGGTATCAGGAAATAGACTTAGGACTCTTCATAGCCTAATGAAGGAAGGAAACACATCTGAAGAACTTAAAAAATACTATAGCCAGTACAAAAAAATATACAACAAAGTTATCAGCGAGGCTAAAAAGTTACACAACAACATGCGAATACGATCATCTGGGAATAAATCAAAAGCCATGTGGGATTTAATCAAAGAAGAATTAGGCAATCAGCAAAAAGTTCCAAAGAACATTGAAATAGAAGTGACTGGAACAGCTATACAGGATCCCAAAGAAATAGCCAATGTTTTTAATGATTACTACACTAACATTGCCCAGCATATCCGGAGTAACAATCCGATAGCACAAAATAATGTAGACAGGATAAATACAATAAAATACAACAGCAATAGCATGTTCTTAATCCCAACCACTGAAAAGGAGGTGGTAGACATAATTAAAACACTGGGTAATAAAAAGTCAACGGGCATAGACGATATTCCAGAGTTCATTATTAAAAAATGTCATTCTCAACTAGCAAATGCTCTAACATACATAATAAATCTGTCATTTTCATCTGGTTACTTCCCTGACCAACTAAAAATAGCAAAAGTGAAACCTTTGTATAAAAAAGGTTGTACTGCTACTGTTGATAACTACAGGCCAGTATCATTAATTTCTGTTTTTTCTAAAATAATTGAAAAAATTATGCACAGGAGACTTCTATCATTCATAAATAAGTATAGCATAATTAACAACAAACAACACGGATTCTGTAAAGGGAAATCAACACATACAGCAATCACGGAATTTACAAAGATGGTCTACAAAGCACTAGATGAAAAAGAAGCAAGTATAGGGTTATTTTTAGATTTATCAAAAGCGTTTGACCTAGTAGACCATGACATATTACTAAGAAAAATGGCAAGAATGGGAATACGAGGGGTTACACTAAGGTGGTTCCAAACATATTTAAAAAACAGGGAGCAAGAAGTAGAAATTACATACAGATGTAAACAAACTAATCGAATCAGTAATTACCTATCCCGAAAGAGACCCATTAGCCATGGCGTCCCACAAGGTTCTGTTCTGGGACCAGTGTTGTTTCTATTATACATAAATGACCTAGAGGCTGTCATAGAGCATGGGAAACCAACGTTCTTTGCTGATGATACTAGCATTTTTATAACAGGAAATAGCGCCAACGAAATTCAAAGGAAAACAAATGAAACAATAAACAAACTCACAGAGTGGTTTGAGTGGAATCAATTAACTATTAACAAAGAAAAAACAATAGCAATAGCCTTTCATCATCCTCAAAAACTACAACTCGAATGCCCTTCAATAAAGATTTATGACACTGTCATCAATTACACAGATCACTCAAAATTTCTGGGAGTCTGGCTAGATAAGCATCTGAGATGGACTATACATACGCAAAAGTTAGCAAACAATTTATGTAAAATATGTTTTGGCCTAAGAGTAGTCAGAAGAGTGACTGGATTAGAGACTGTCCGCACGTTATATTTTGCTTATTTCCAATCTTTGCTATCATATGGACTGATATTTTGGGGTAACTCAGTAAAAGCAAAATTGATATTTAAATTACAAAAGAGAGCTATAAGAGCTATGACCCAGGTCCCAAAAACAACTAGTTGTAAACAAATTTTCAAATCATTACATATATTACCTTTACCATCTTTGTATATATACGAAATTTTAATATACATAAAATCCAATTTAAATGATTTCACAACCAACTCAGGATTACACTCATACAATACAAGGAAAAAAGACGACTTACACATCGTCCCATGTAATACAAGTCTATACAAGAACAACTTTAACAATGTAGGAATTCGACTGCTAAATCATTTACCACTACATATTAAAGAGATACCAGTACTATTCAAGTTCAGAAGTGCTTTGAAAACTTACCTACTTAATCATTGCTTCTACAAAGTGGATGAGTTTCTCTTGTATGGGGCAAGCACTAGCTCTAATCAATTATAATCACATAAGTAATGAATAATTGGTTTTGGAGAATAATTGGTTTTGGAATCGCTACTGCGCAGTTTTCTTTTCCCTTTTCCAGCAACCAAGCTAACACAGTGGAGATTTACCGGAACAGGCTACTCTGGAGATATGCAGACTTCAAGAAGCTTCACCAGCACTACAGAGACCAGGACCATAAACTACAGTGAAGCAACATACCAGACAATATTATCTCTAAGGCCGTGCCACAGCTTAAGCGGTTAGTCGCTGGCTTCCCACCGAGGCGGTCTGGTCCAGTGGGATTTGTGATGGACAAAGTGGCACTGGGGCAGGTTTTCTCCGAGTACTTCGGTTTCCCCTGCCAATCTTCATTCCATCAAACTCTCCATAACCATAACCACCCAGGATATATATCATTCGAATCATAATTTTATTATCTTTGTATACTATTATATCATTGTGTTATATATTGTATTATTATTATTATTATTACTATTATTACTATTATTATTATTACTTATTGTATTGTAAAGTATTTGACTTGTCCTATATCATGTACAATGATCCATGGATATGATATGAAATAAATAAATAAATAAATAATAAATAATAATACTTACAGCCCTAAATATCATGTGAAGGGGCATGGGAATGTTGAAATTGAATGCATAATTATTGCACACATTAGCACAGAAGAACATAGCAACAAGGATGGCATAATCTCTGTAAAGAAAGAAGGAAAATGTTTATTTAATGCTACACAATATGGCTCAGTATGGAGTGGCATGAAATGCTTTATGACTACAATTAATTGCATTTATGCAGTAAAATTATATTTAAAGAAATGGTCAAGGTGAGAGAAATTATGTTTAACCCTTCAGCATGGTTTGCCATACATGGTACGCTGGTATTTAAATGGTCCTACCTGCGGTTTGCCATACACCGTACGCTAAGCTGTAAGCTTAATTTCGAAGGTCCATAAATATGGAATGAACCATGCCAGCATGACGATTGCACTGGGCTGTTGTGAACAGAATTAGCTCTCTGTTCGTGTAAACATAACATTCAATCTCCTGCAGCTTTGCCAGTCAGTCTAAATAGAACGCTGACCTCACAGTTACGATGGCAGCTATGATATCAACATACCATACAGATGATATGCGTGTGGTTGTGAATAAAGCAAACAAACAAGAAACAAAGCCCTTGGTTGTTTGTGATTACAACAGAAACATGCTAGGAGTGGATCTGAGGGATCAAATGCTACAGCCGTACTTGCTTGAAAGAAAGAAGAGTACTAAGTGGTATCAGAAGTTATTCAAGAGGCTACTCAATGCAGCAATACATAACACAATGGTCATATATCGGTGTCTCCCGAATAACAAAAACATGGGCACGCTAAAGTTCAGACTTTCACTAGCACAAGGCCTCGTGGAAAATCACGGTTCTGGTTTTCCTCATCCTGTATACGGCCATCCATCAGTTGAGCCGATGCATAAAAGACTCACAGAACGACATTTCCTGGAGCGTATTCCAGCCAAAGGAAAAAAGCAAAGCCTCAAAAAAGATGTGTGGTGTGCGCAAAACATGGTAAAAGGAAAGAATTTATTTTTGGTGTAGTGAATGTGAGGCAGGGTTGTGTTTAGATGGATGTTTCAAGAAATAACATACGAAACTCAAATTCTAATCCACTTGCTTCCATCGCTCAGATACAGGGCGCTCATATTATAAGGTAAGATTATAAAACCATCTTTTAAGATGATTTCAGTGAAAAATTCATAATTATACCTCATATAGTTCAAAAGTTATGATACATAATATAATTTAGGGCAAATTTTAAATGGGAAATTAAAAAATACTACCGCAGGAGGCCCAACAACAGCGATATTTAAATGCCCGCGCTGAAGGGTTAAGGCACACTTCAAGTTACCTGTTAAGTTTCTCAAACAACCTTCAAACACTGTAGTGCACCTATGATGTGTTCATAGCATCTATTATTCACAGTTTTATGTGCAACACCACATCGCACAAAACTTATTAACTTCAAAAGTTTAAAAGTTCACTACATGTTTCAGCCAATATGGCAAAACACACAGCAAGGAAGAACACAACACACCAACCCCAATACACAAGCACATCAAAGGGAGCTGCATATATATTAACAACAGAAAACAACAGTTTCCTCATCAAAAGATTTTAACACCTGATGATGGCAATATTGGCCAAAACATGTAGTAAACTTTTAAAGTTAATAAGTTTTGTGGGATGTGGTGTTGTACAAAGGACTATGAATAATAGAGGCTAAGTGAAAATTGCAAAAGGATGCTACAATATAATACTAGTGTTCATACAGATCTCATACATGACCACTCAGAAGCTCTACAGAGGAAAGCAAGTGGTGGTGTGAGATCAGGAGGGTGCAAAGGATATGGGAATTGGTTTCTCTGGAAATACTGTATCCTCAGAAAGCCTACAGCAGTATGGCCTTTTCCATGAGAAAATGTAAAGGTAAAGATGTCCCTGTGCTTAACTAATTAACCACTATACAATGAAGATATGTGGGGCAATCCAAAAGTTTCTGAAATTTGAATTTTGCGCACGAATGGTTATGACTACATCGAAATACCACTAGGTGTCTCCTCACACATCCTTCTTGAATCAGTGTGGCAAGCGCCGTCAAGTTGAGTGGTTGGGTTTATTGTTGGTGAACGTATTTCCATTGTTGTGTTTCCGTGAGTTTGCAGTTTTGCGATGGCTGACCTGGGTGAGCAGCGTGTCTGTATAAAGTTTTGTTTCAAACTTGGGAAAACCGCTGCAGAAACGCACCAAATGTTGAAGCAAGCTTTTGGTGAAAACAGTTTAGGCCAGACACAAACTTACAACTGGCATAAGCGTTTTAAAAATGGTCGAACATTCACTGATGATGACTATCGTTCGGGACGGCTGTCAATGGGCAAAACACCAGAAAATGTCACAAAAGTTAGGGATCTGATTCTGCAAGATCATAGACTGACCATCCAAGACCTCTGTAACACCTTGGGACTAAGTTATGATGTCAATGAATTTTGTCAGAGGAACTGAACATGAGGAGGATTGTGGCGAAGTCTGTGCCACGACTGCTGCAAAATGAACAGAAGGAGAATCGCTTGGAAGTTTGCAGGGAACTTCAGCAACAACTTCAAGAGGATCCAAACTTTCTTTCGAAGGCTGTCACTGGCGATGAAATTTGGGTTTATGGCTATGACCCTGAAAGCGAGCAGCAATCATCGCAATGGAAGAGCCCTTCTTCACCTTGGCCAAAAAAAGCTTGACAAGTCAAGAGCAACATTAAGTCCATGTTGATCTATTTTTTTGATACTGACGGGATTGTTCATAAGGAATTTGTCCCTCCCGGTCAGACAGTCAATAAAGAGTTCTATCGTGATGTTCTAAGGTGTTTGAGGGAGGACATGAGGAGAAAACGTCCAGAGAAGTGGTGCACAAACGACTGGGTACTCCACCATGACAACGCACGACTGCATACGGCTTACATTGTGCAGGAATTTTTGGCTAAAAACAAGATGGCAGTTGTTCCCCGCTTACCATACTTGCCAGACTTAGCTCCATGCGACTTCTTTCTCTTACACAAGATGAAAATCAAGTTGAAAGGGCGAAGATTTGATACAGTTGAGGAAATTCAAGCGGAAATGCAGATGGTACTAAACACCCTAACAAAGAAAGACTTCCACGATGCATTTGAAAAGTGGCAGAAACGCTGGGATCGGTGTATGCGCTCCCAATGGGACTACTTTGAAGGTGATGGTGCAGAATAAGATCTAGGTAAGATGTAATAGTTTTTATTAATATATTTCGGGAACTTTTGGATTGCACCACGTATATGGGGACTGATGTAGAAATCCACATTTTCTTGACCTTGGCACTAGTTGGATTCTGTGGCTACAACTACAATTTTTTGAGGCATAGTTGTCATTTTGTTGCATAGTGACCCAGCAGCATATACCGAGAAACTAACGGTTCTCTGCAACATGTAGCAAAATGCATATTCTGCACATACGCACTAACAGAGGTGCTTTCACTTATCACACCATTTTATACCAGGTAATACTACCCATATATACATATATATATATATATATATGTATCATGGATCTCAAATGCTTATAACATATAACAAGACTATGGGATGAATGACTGTGTAATCATGGTTTGATTCCTGGTAGGGACAAGAGAGTTTTCTTTTTTTCCATAGTGTCTGGACTGGATCCGGGGCACATCCAGCCTTCTATATAATTGGCATGGATGGCTGTTTCCCCAGAAGTAAAGCCACAGGAGAGTGAAACTGACCACTCATCTCCACCCACTTGCAAGGTAAAGAATGGTGTAGCTATACCTCCACTACCTGTGTCCTTATGGCATAGTGCTTAATTAAGTAGAGGGATAACTTTAATATAACAACCCTGACACCAATCTTTTCACACCACAAAAGAAAAGCACAGAACTGAAATACATACATTAATGATGCTTTCTTCCACTTACATATTATTAATTCATATGTTACTGCTGTTTCTTCATATTCCCACCTCAACCCTACGTATTAAGCATTTTCAGAAAAGAACGAAGGATGCACATGAGAGATTTGAGTTCTCAAGCTACTGACTACGAATGGTACTATTTTCTGGAATCTTATCCTATGTAGCTTGAAAGAAGTTTATCAGTGTTTTGGAAGTATGTACACTTTGACTCTGAGGATGGAAGCAGTATGTTCCTCTGAAACACTGGTAAACTTCAGCCAGACTATACATTCCAACATCCAAGTAGACAGCATTCTTTAAAGGAATACCACGTACTTATGGCTGATGTGGTATGAACTCCTTTACACTATCAATTTAAATTAAGCAAAAACATACTAACTTGATTCCAATCCTTGGCTTCTTGGTACCAAAGTGAGCTGTAAAGATGAAACCTTCAAGAGCTATAATAAAAAACTGGGAAAATGTAATTATATTGCCACTTGATGGATCTTCCCTGGAAAGAAACAAATCAAATTAACAGAAGTGAACAGCTGTTGCAAAGTAATCAACTTACAAATAAGACATAAAATTTAAGTTGAAAAAAATGCACTAAAATTCCTTTGGGCAATCATCTGCATGACTGTTCAGCACATAATCAATGTCTCAGAAGTACTACTGTCTCCATCAGGGCTGATACTCACATATACAAGTACATAAATAATTCAGACAATGAAAAGCCTGTTTCTCATTGTTTGTGTGTTGGGCGAAGGGAGGAGTGAATGAAGTTGAGCAATCCACACTCCCACCATAGATCTGGTTCTGCATTGCATAACCTGAAGAGTGGTCCCATCTGTTGGCTAGCCCCTGTCCACTGTGATCGCTGATTACTGACTCCAAACAATTCAGTGCCACAAGACTTTACAGACTTCACTGGTAATGGGTGCTACATGATATAAAAATTTCGAATCTTTCATAAGCAGGCTACACACTTACCACTACATGAGAAATTGCTATCCTAAGTCAGTTATGACATAGTATTTATCTTCAGGAAAGTCCTGTCAAGGAGAACTTAACAGTAACTACATCATTGTTGCTATAGTAGATCTAGTCTAACAATTTTACATCCATACACTTTTTATTAATGGAAAATTCTACAAAAAAAACACAGAGTAGCCATGGAGACATCATTTTCCTGTGAAGTGGCTGATTATTTTGTGGAATATTTTGAATAACATGCACTGAGCACTGCCTTCCAAAGAAACATCTTTCTGGTATACATATGCGGATGGTAAGTTTGTCATCTGGAGCATATGAAATTGAGGAAATGCAACATTCAAACATGTATATGGACATCAAGTTCACTATGGAAACAGAAGACATCAGCCAGCTGCCTTATATGTACATGCTAATGATCAATGACTTAAGACGGCTCATTGGGATACCCTGTATGTGGAAAACCCATTCATATGGACCTCTGCCTTCATGCAGATTCATATCATCACCCACAACAAAATCGTGCAAGGGTTCTCTGTGCCAAGACACTCTGTGACACAGATAATCTGAATATTTCAGATCTACAGGAAACATTTATATATAATGGTTACAACACAACAGATCTGAACAGATCTATGCATCCTAAACATAAAACACCCACAAAGAGAGACAGACTGAGTGACAGAAGGGCACATTATCATTCTAACAGATTAAACTGAACAAGGATGGCCAACATCCTGACTTGGAAGAATTCACACATGTTTAGGCAAGTGAAGAATGAGTTGGAACTGAAGGTCTCAGGGGTTTAAGCGCCACACAAGACATGGGGAAGAGAGGATATTCCAGTGAGACAAGATACAAGGAATACTTTAAGAACCTAAGCCTGTTTCATTCAGACAAATCTGCAGTCTTGGAACATATCACTGAATGAAGCCATCAAATCCCATTCTAAGGTTCTCAGATACATATTACCAAAAAACAGGTTACATGGACAAACTTGTCAATGAGGTAATCAAATTATGCATTCATCTGAATAACCTATATAGGAAGAAGTGTTTCAAGCTATGCTAGTCATGGAACCATACACTCTCTTCATGCACATGTTACTCACTGAGAGCTTCCTTTAACTGTATTCCTCAAGTTCCTCCTCCGCAAGAGAATTATACCAACTGAACGACAGCTGCTTGTCAGCAATTTAGTGCCACTTTTTGTGGACAGAGGGTGTTGCGTGGTCAGCGCAACAGATTCCCACGGCTGTTAATCTCAGTTTTCTAGACTGGAATTACTGAAGTTAAAGTCCCTAATTCAATGGCAGGATACACACGATACAGTAGCTTCAGTTGGGATAATATACTCTGATTTTCATTAGGTCAGTCAGGAATAACTGACCACTGAAGTTCTTGTGATGCTGATAGATGCATTACGCCCTCTCCTGAGCTACATGTATCCAGTCCACACCCTCACTCACTACATCTTTAAGGTTTTAAGACTACAACTTTGTACGCAATTCTTACCTCCCCCAACATACATATTCTAACCATTTCATCCTCCATTTACTCATCATCAGCAGCAGCAGAAAATCTACCCTATTTTAGCAACAGTCTTCCTCAGAAAATTTAGACCATCCGATTTTCACTTCTTTGGAGCTTTTAAATTCTATCAAATGCAACAATGTTTTTAATAATACCTTTACACATTTCAGCCAGTGATGGCCATTATTGGAAGGTGACCAACACTTCAAAGGAAATGCTCTACACTTATTACATGGAGGTGTTGTCTTGTAATAGTTAAAAACACTAAAAAGTAAAAAGTAAAGGTATCCTTGTAACAGGCTGTGGAGGCCCTTAGGGTTGTGAAATGTTGGGGCTCCCACACTGTCTAGACCAGTGATGGGCAAACTTTTTTAGGAAGGAGCCAAAGAAAAAAGAAAAAACTTTAGGCGGGCCAATATAATTTATTAAAAACAATAATGGTAGATTTTACAAAATTCTTGTAATACTAAGCCCTATTAATGATTGAAAGATTATGAAGGAGAATGTGATGAATGAAACTGTGACTGCATTTCCAAAATTTTCTCATAATCTGGTTCGAACTGGGATGCACTGATTCTCAGAAGTGAAGTTAAATGCTCATCTGTCAGTCTGTTTCTAATACAACTCTTTCGAAGTTTCATTGTAGAAAACACCTGTTCACATATATAGGATGAAGCAAACATAGCAGTGACTTTCTGGGCATGAGACATCAGATTTGGGAAACTGGATTTCGACAAGGACTTGTAGAACTCTAATTTTGGGACATTGAGAAACAACTGTTTCAGTTGAGTGTTTACATTGCAACTCAATTAATTCAAGTTGCAAGTCCGGTTTCACTGTTTCACAGTCTACATTAAAAGGCATACTGAAAACATCCAAGTCTTTTTCAATGGCACTGAAGTCTTGAAATCTTCGTTCAAATTCACCACGGAGTCTTCTCAGGCTATCCTCGTAGCTCCTAAGCTTGTCCTTCATCACTGGGGCTATTGAATTTAACCTCGGGAAGTGAGACAAGTCATTCTTAGCTAGCTGATCTGCAAACAGAACAAGTTGTAGTTTAAAACTTCTGATATGGCCCCAGATATCATCAATAAATTGATTTTTTCCTTGCATCTTGACATTCAACTTGTTCAGGTGGCAGAGAAGATCTGTGAAAAATGCAAAGTCCGAAAGCCATGCAGTATCTTCCAGCATTTCACATTCTACAGACCACTGTTTCTCTTGGAAGAATGACACTTTTCGTCTTTCAGCTGCCAAACTCGCTCGAAGACGCGTCCCGCGCTAAGCGACCTTACTTTCGAGTAGTACAGTAAATCAGAGTATTCAGACTGCATGGAGTCAAGAAACTCTCCAAACTGTCTGTGAGTAAGCCCTCGAGATCGAATGGCATTAACAAGCTTCACAACGACATCAAGCACAGGTTTCATATCCAAGGCAGATTTACACAGGGCGTCTTGATGTATGACGCAATGCAGAAATACAACATTGTTCTCGGGATATTCTTGATTAAAGATCCCAACAAATCCAGATTTTGTCCCTGTCATACTTTGTGCTCCATCTGTCGTAATACTGCATATGCTAGTTATAGGTACTTTCAAAGTTGAAAGGCCTTCCAGAAATTCATGAAAAATATCTGACCCTGTTGTAGTTCCCTTTAACGACCGCATGCATGCTAATTCCTCTGTAATAGAGAAGTTTTTGTCAACACATCTTATAAATAATAGCAACTGTGCAGTATCATTTATATCAGTGCTTTCATCCATAGTAATGGAGCAGAATTTAAATTGACCAATCCTTGATTCCAACTGTGATAATATGTTTTTATCTATGACTTCGATTCTAGAAGTCACTTTTTCGAGATAAGCTTACAGTTTCAAAATCCTTTGTCCTGTCAGGACATAAAATATCACAAACTTTGAGCATGCAGTGTTTAACAAACTCCCCATCAGAGAGAGCTTTGTTACTTTTAGCAATATTGTATGCTACAACATAACCTGCATGTGTAGCTGCTTTCTGAGAACTATTTACTTTCTTAAAAATACTTTGCTGACCTGACAGTTTTTTACGTAGGTCTTCTGCTTTTTGTTTCCTTTCATCTTCGGTCATGGCTCCATAATTAGCATTCTTATGCTTAGAGATGAAGTGCCGGGAAATGTTGTATTCTTTGTAGACTGCTATGGTTTCATTGCAGATAAGACACAGTGGTTTATCCTTAAAAGCTGTGAAAAAGTACTTCCAAGTCCATTCATCTTTGAAAACACGGCACTCTGAATCAACTTTACGTTTTTTAGTTGACATCTTAGGGCTGAAATGTTTCACGAATGTGCACAGTAAAACTAGCAAACACCTACAACAATAGTGCGACCGGGTCTGAATAAAAGAATGTGGTGTTAGTAGCCAGCTGCAGTGGATGTAATGTGGAGGGGGTACAGCGAGGAGGCTCCGTTGCCAGTTTTACTCTTCGCTACAAAAATGCCAGCAGCCAGTGCCTCACTCTCAAATGTTAACATAGCATTCCAATACCATAGTGGATAAGTAAATAAATTAATCTGTGGTCACTAGGCTAAACATAAAAGGGAGGAAAGAAGAAGAAAATAATCCAGAATTATTTATTTTCCTTAATTCTTCTTCTTTTTATTCGACAGATTAGGAATCATTTCGCGGGCCGGATAGAACCTATCAGGGGGCCGTGTCTGGCCCGCGGGCCGTAGTTTGCCCACCACTGGTCTAGACAATTGGCTCACAGATGGTGAAGTTGTCAGCCTTACGTGCTGGCTGCCCTTTACCCCCAGGAAAATTCCTGGTACTCATGTCTGTTAGAGGCTGAGCTGACCCTAGGGCCATAGTGTGGCTGGAAGGATTAGGTAAATTGAAAAAATCCACCTCATTGGGATTCGGTCCTGCGACCTTCCAGCTTGTAGCAGAGTGCCTCAACCAACTACACTACCACATGCACTGTCTCCATCCAGGGGAATAGTTAAAACACTTGTACTTAAAATATGTTTTTTAAAAGTAACAGAATTTTTGATTGAGTAAAATCCTGATGTGAAGACCAATGATGGTCACGTTCCTTCACACTAGTTCTGTATTCTGCTGATTGTGTGTGTAGCATGGATGGGATTGTGGTGTTGTGTTTTAGTTTATTCTTTAAACATGTTTTAACCCTTACAAGACGACACACACATGTAATACATGTGAAGCATTTCCTTTAAAATGTTTGTCATCTTCCATATAAAGGCGTTATTCTATTATAAAAATACATTGTTTTTTTTTGATAGAATTTAATCCTAATTTTACTTATTTTACTTTCCTTAATACCTTCTGATGAAAACTGGAGGAAAACCTTACTAAACTATGGCCATGTCATATCTGATTCAATTCAGCATTCAAAATTATTCCATCCTTCAATTTGTTTACTTGCAGTTTATTTAACGACTCCATCTGTAACTCGGACTTTATATCGTTCAATTATTGGATTATAGTGAATAATGCATTGGAAAGGTAATGAAATGGCCTTTTTTAAGGCCCTATCCCAGGTTTTTTTGGGAGGAATACCACGAAAAATCTCAGCCTAGATATTCAGTGATCAAGCTGGAACTCAAACCATTCACCTCCTGCATACAAGTCCGAAACGTCTACAGTTCAACACTGGCGTAAAACTTACTACAAACGCTTCAAACACGAAAATTAAAAAGCTATCAACCCAAAATTTAAAATCCGTTATTAACCCTGTTAGAAAATTCTACTGATTGCATCACTGAAATATGACTAAAAGGCTGAAATCAAAGCAATGATTCAAGGTACAACTATCGAAAGATGACAGAAATTTATTTCCTGGGGCTGCAATCCTTGTATGTACCGTACATAACATTGTTTATATGCTGTAATGCAAATAAATTTCGTAGAATGCAAATGTCTTCGCAGAATAAAAGAAAGTTGTAAAGATGACTATGCACTTTTACAAAATTAAACGGCACGTAAAACGTGTATCATACCACCACTTACTTCACTAATAATTCAAGGAACACCACATTGCTACAACATCCTACAAACACCATGACAATTGCTAATGCAGATTTCATTTTGATTATTATATTGTGAACTTCAGCTTTTTCCTTTAAGAGAATAATGTTAAGCACATTTTATAACAGGCCAACATAACCTTAGCAAACATTTGACCACACATCGACTAACTCGGACTAACCGTCCTCTTCTCCACAGACGTACTGTACCGATCCGTGGTGAGCTAACATCGTCACGTCCATGACGTCCATGACTACCGCATAAGGTGAACAGACGCACGGATTAACAACAGATATACAACGGGTGCAATGTTTATCATTCAGTCGACACATTTCTGATGTAAACACATGATGGGTGCGCATGTACAGCGTTTAGGGTTATGTTTCATTTATGCCTACAAAAATTCGCATTCCAGTTCCAGAATAAGCCACGGGACGAAAAGAACAGAAAATGATAACATGACACACCCATAGACCAGCATATAATAACATCAACATAAGGTTAAGAAAACCAACATATACCCCTACCCAAACATACAAAGTTATACAACGTGGCCACGAAGTCCCTTCGTGGTTTTGAAAAGTGTGGCGCGTAAACAAATTGAGCAAGCCACATGCAATTTGCGGCAGATCATGGAAGTTTCCTTTTGCCGCCAACAGATGGCATAAACGGCCATCTTTACGTTTCTAAGTCGTTGGTGAACTTGTGCAAGTTATTCAACGAAATCAAAACTGTAAACATTTCAACTGATGCCGACATAGCATTAAGTACAAGATTCAAATTGTGACTAGCACATTGAAAATATTTTGCTTTAAATCTGGCCTTCATTCATTACATGCCCTGCTTATTACAGCTCCTTTGTAATTTTGACGACCAGTTTGATTTAGATCCAGATCAGTCTTTTGAATCATCTTAGTTTCTGAAGTACTGCTGCTGAATGATAGTACACTACAGTAAGTCATGGAACACATTGTCTCCCAGCAGGTTTGTTGGGACTTCTGTGATGGCCATTTTAAATGGAAATATATCGAATAACTAAACTCAGGTGATAGATTTTGGCAATATCCAACATGCTGTCTGAAATGCCAGTAACCAATGCTGCCTCCAATTTTACCACAAATAACCGGCATGTATGACATACTGCCCATCAAAGACTGTAGAGTAACAACGCCCTACATGTTTTATTTGCTAAATAATAACAGGAATTTGGAAATCACTTGTTATTCTGCTTTAAATCTCTAGGAAGCAAGTGATAAAGTTGACATGGCCCATTGATGATGATAAATCTTTTCATATTAATACTGAGTATGCTGATAATCTTTTCATATTAATACTGAGGGTTTTGTAATTAACTTCATGACCTTTATCTGGAACATTTGAAATGGTGTCAGCAGTGTTGTTATTATTATTGTTGTTGTTATTATTGATACAGTACTACAAGTTCATGGCACTTGCTCAGAAGTGTTGGATCATAAACATTTCAACACGATTGAATAGCTAAAATTAAGTCTTCAACTTCATGATTTTCTGCTGGTTGGTGATCTTTATAATCACTTGAGATATCTTTGTGAGGCTTTATACAACTTTTCACTTTTCTCTTTCATTAATGTTTATTCCACTTATCCACTTATGTGTTTGGATTTACTGTTCTTTTCTTCTGACACAGATTGATGTAGTTAACAACAGATATAAACGAAAATGTAGATCACTGATCAATAATACAACCATAGTAATAAAGGAATGGTACAGTACTGGAACAGTAATTTCTACACATATAGCACAAACAGTTCCTTTATTCCTAACAATTGCAGCAAAGTCCATCAGTCACGTGTAGAGATTTGATATAATGTGAAACAAGAAACGTCTAGAACATATGAATATTTCTCATGTCCCTAAATCATTTAAAATTATTTAATTAATAAAATAAGTGGAATGATTTTGATACCTACTAAAATATAATTGTAAATTATTCTGTTTCAGCTGTAAAAGGAAAGTAAAAGTAAAGCTATCCCTGTAACAGGCTGTGAAGGCCCATAGGGTTGTGAGACGTTGAGGGTCCCACATTATCTAGACAATCGGCTCAAAGATGGCAGTAAGGTTGTCAGCCTTACGCGCTGGCCGCGCTTTACTCCCCAGGAAAATTATTTAATGAATTCCTGGTATTAATTTCTGTTAGAGGCTGAGTAAACTCCAGGGCCTAGTGTGGCTGGTAGGATTAGGCCAATTGAAAAAAATGCAATGACCTCATCGGGACTTGAACACGTGACCTTCCAACTTGTAGCATAGCCCCTCAACCAACTACGCTACTGTGTGCCCCTGCAATATACCAAAATCAGTTGTTGATTATAACAAAATTTAATACTATGACTTTCATATCATTTTCAGATTAACATTAAGATTATTACATCTACATCACAAGCCTCCAAAACAGTTTATTATATATTACACAAAATATAGAATACTCTGTGGGAACACAACAAAATCACAAAAACCAACGACTGACTCAATGATGTAAAGCATCACTCAAAGAATTTTGTTGTTTTATACTATAACTTTTGTTTTATATAATCTAATTTATTGTATTTTTTTGCCAAGTATTTTAGTATAATTAATATTATTGTATTGAATTTTATTAGTACTGCAGTTCAGTGGCGTATATACGTATGTTAGTCACGTATTTGGCTGATGATAGCTTTTAATAGCCAAAACATGTAGAAGAGCCAAACTAGGCACTGACCTTAACATAGTCGTGTTGTGACGGTTTTAATAAAGAAATTGTAGATTGTAACACAACAGGATGCATGAAATGGAAAAAAAGAAGAAGAAAACCTATTGAACTTTAACCAGGAAATGTAATTTTTACATGTGTGTGGCCATTTATAACAGTGTGTTACTGACAGCATCATAAACTAAGACCCCCCAAGAAGAAACCATCTAGTATCATCAATAATTACCATGATTCACCATAACATAGAATTCAGAGAATTGGGCCAGCCATTTTAAATATTCAAAGAAACTGGATAAAGCAATTGTTAAGTGACAAATAATATTACTGGGTTAATGTTGCAAAAGATCACATAAGACAAATGAAATAAAACAACTGAAATGGCTGGAGGCTTCATCTTAATGTTTACATGTATATCTGAGACATTGTACACTGGTGTTCATGGTTTCAAATTTTTCATTATTTTATTTCCTGTTCATTTGCCCTACACAGTGAAAATGTGCATTGCACACAAACACCTGGAAGACACTAACATATTCAACAGTGTCAGTCAATTTAAGATTATTCTTCTGGGATGTGATGCCATGTAGTTCAGTAGATAAATATAAACATTTCAGTGGAATATATATATATAAACCATTTCAGTGTGTATAGTTACTACATCCCAAATTATTTTTGATTCACATGTGAAGTAACATGAAATTTAAAAATTCAGCAATCTGATAAAGCACCCATGGCTGGACTTTGTTACTCGAGGCAATGAAATGCCCCTATCTATATATGTATATTAAAATAACCTGAACTTTGTATTATGCTCTATGTTCAGCTCCAATCTAATCAGAAAAATAAGAAAGCTGACCTTCATTACTAGCAATTACCTCATTTTGTGGCAATGTACTTTATTGTGCTCTCTCACATCATTCAAGTATGCCGTAATTTAGTTTTGCTTTATATGTATGCTTGCTAAAATATCCTTGGTGTGTGTCCTCTGTGGGTAATGGTGCTCTTAAATTTAGACTAACTCTTTTGTGAGAGTTCACTAGAATTATGGTTAATATAAATTATGTTAGTTAAAATCATTTAATTACAAGCTGTAGGTTATAAGTAAAGAGTAAGCAGATTGTCACATTTTTATCTTCAAAAGTGGCATTGGCTCATTCTTGTTGTGTGAACAGGTTGTAGCATCTGCTGCTTTTCCTAAAATTTTAGCTGTTTTACCTACAGCAGCATGCCTTTGGTAATCTGAGATTTGACAGGAGCAAGATTACAAAATATTATGCAACTGTGTGAACAGGAAGTTAACTCCCTAACTAGGGATGTTATGGTTATACTATGGGGAGGCTCAAATGATGTTGCAAAAAAATGAAACAATGAATGGACGTAAGTCACTTAAAAAAGTTTACAAATAAGAAAAAGAATACAAATTTTATTTTAATTACAGCCCCTCACAGGTGTGACTTAATGGAATCATCATGTGTAAATGAAGACTCAATTGCTCAATTTCTTAATAAACTATCTAACAGAAAATGGGAAAATATGTATAAGTTGGGTAAGGTACTCAAATTACTCTATAAACCAAAAATTGAATTTATATTATGTGGTGATTTTAATGTAAATTTTTTAGAAGACTCAACTAGTAAAACACAGTTATTAGTGCTGTTGCAGTCATACAATATATTTCATACAGTACAGTTCCCAACAAGAATAACAGAGAACAAAAGCTCTGCTATTGATAATACAAAGTGGTTGAAATATGGCTGGGACTGATTTGTGTGTAAACAAGCCACACTGTGCAGCAGCTGTGCAACCTTGAGAGAGTGGAGCCACAAACTCCACCCTCCCTCCTGTTCGGGTTAGAACCTGTTCAGTCCTGTCTTGGAGCTGCTAGAGTGATGAGCGAACAGAAGGTACCTCGGAGCGTGGAACAATGCATTGTGATCAAATTCCTCGTTGGAGAAAACATCCCAACCCCATTGAAATTCACCACAGACTCCAACAACAGTATGGAGAAGAGTGTCTCTCACAGACCCATGGGTGTGAGTGGTGTAAGTGCTTCAGAGAGGGCAGAGAGCGCATGGAGAATGAACCTCATGATCGTTGGCTACGAACATCCATCACTGAGCCAAACATTGATTGTGAAGACGCGCTTATTCGTGAGAATAGGCGCATCACTATCAAGGAACTTGGAGCAATGCTGTCCATCAGTGTTGGTAGTGTAGAAGACATCATGAAATATCACCTGCACTATCGCAAGGTGAATGCACGGTGGGTACCACATACTTTGACAGACGTGAACAAAATGGTGTGCATGCAAGCTGCCAGTTGTCTCCTACAGCAGTTTGATGAAGGTGATGCATTTTTGAAGTCTATAGTGACCCCCAATGAAACGTGGGTGCACTACTTCATTCCCGAGTCCCAGCAGTCAACACACAAGTGGTGGCATACCAGTTCTCCCAAAACCAAGAGAGCCTGGAGGAGCTGTTCGG